CTCCATTTCGACAGCATAAGGTTGGTTATCAGCATGTTAACGCACTTCCAATTGCGACTTCTGGTGCAGATGATCTCGATATGATAGATTTTGACAGCTTCAATAACGTGCAGGCTTCAGGGCAGGCTGCGAATACTTCAAGTCGACGTGCAAGTCAAGCTACAGAAATGGAAGAGGTAGCAGAGTTCACGCATGAAGAAATGAATCCGGCTGAAGTTTCAAAGAAAGGATCAACATCTAATACACCTGAGATTCCAGAATCATCTAGCTCGCTGCCCAAACATGTGCACGGCAAGCGTCAGCGACTCGATTTTCCATCGTCATTGGACAAGAGTCCCAAGAGGTTGAAATTGGTGATATCAGATACCACGGCTGAAACGTCGTCAGCGTCTCTTCCCGCACCTCAAAGACCTCCCACATCTACAGCTCCCGAGGCACCAAAAGCTTCTGGTATTCCAAGCTCCGTTCCTTCAAGCTCCGTTCCTCCGATGTCGAGCTTGCCATCTGCAGCATCCCTGGCAACATGCAAAATTTCATCTTTTACGCCCCCCACTTCTGTTGGTGAGTTTAAGGAGACAGATATTCTCACGCCTTCATTGAAAAAGATCAAAGCAAACCGCGGTAATTTTAATGGATTGCAAAAGAAACATTTTAATCCTACTTTCCAGACTCGGCCCTGTCGCCCTTTGGAGCGCGGATATTGGCTTATTCACGCAGAAGATCTCGGGGATCTTCTCAAGAAAAGGCTTTGGTCCTACCTTCTTCGGGTCATTCCGAAAGGTGATTTAGGATGGGGCATATCAGCTGAACGTACCAATGATTGGAATACTGTAAGGGTTTATTGTTGGGGTGGGGTTGTCAAAGAAATTTACCTCATGCTTTTTTGTGCTAGTGAAAATAAGCTGAAATACGGGGATGCGTGCTGGAAAGACGCTGACGGAGAAATCGTTATCTTGATGCCCAAAGAGATCAAGATCTCAAGTTTCAGTTCAGAGAACTAAGTATAGGATCTCCTATAAGTTTGAAGACCTTGTCGTTACTTCTACCCCTCGCCTTTGGATATGCCCAGGGACTCGAGATGGCGATACTATTAAGAGTAAAATATACCGATATGGCCGATCATCAGTTGAATTCCTCATGAGACTTGCCCACGTGAACGTATTGATCTCCATGAATTCACGAACTGAATTTTGGCCTTCCTTGCTTATGACTTTGAGGTCCATCGAAAGACATCCGGTGTATAATCTAACCCAAAAGAGATAGGCGAGAAACCACTACTAGACGACAGATATCTTATCGCTGTGCATACTAACTATTATTATGTGCAGGTGATGTTTTTCTGGGGATTTAGAGCAATTTTAACCTGTGAAGGACGGAAAATTACCCCAGAATTTCACTAATTCACGTCATCGTTCAACTTAGTTCTTCTAGTCTCAACTCAAAGTCACAACAGCACACTGGAATTCTGTGGCCCCCATTAGCTCTACTGCACTGGTGTTTCATTGTTCGGCCTATTCTTACATCACTGAAAGCTATGAAGTGCGTTCCAATATCTAATTTACCACACTTTTGGTGAAGCCTCTCACAATTGAAATATATGTTTTGTCGTGGGAGGCTGAGCAGCCTTAGAGTAGGCAAACACATTATTTCGCAGCGAATCGCACATACACATGTTCTTGCGCCTTGCCATGAAGTGAAGAAAGCCTAGCCGCAAATACAAGGGCGCCGTACATCAAAACTTAACATTCGAAGGCATTGCTACGGAGCACTTTGATTGGCCTTACACATCTTTCCACGGCATGGTTCATGGCTCACATTGGCTCTTGGCATTTAGTGGATCAATGAGCTACAGTAACTAACGATTCTAATTCTTCTATGGATGGATAGCTTCTAAACTCACTCCAGAAGCTTCCTGGTGCATTCAATGAGTGTGGGGAAAGGAAACGAACAAATCGTTGACGTATGACCTCTGAACTTACATATATAGAGCGCTCCTTCAATTCATTCTAGTAAGCATCAACCTTCTATCAATTTCTTGTCATAAGTAACATTCACCAAGGGATATATGATCGATTTCATTCACTACAATCAGCTTCTGTCACCAAGCTATTAAGACAAATACAGGGCACCTAAATATTTTGTTCAAAATCCTCCAGCAAATATGGAAAACGTACCGATGCCAAACCTGCAAATAGTTATCAACAAAATGCAGGTTAATATACGAGAACTGTCTGCCTCGAATGAAAATCCTGACGGTATTTTATATCGAGCGGAGCCACGCGACTTCTACGATGTCTTAAATTATAAGTTTAATGAACCACTAACTTTTACATCTAACATTTTAATGAACGATATCAATTGGCAAGAATACAACCCGCCAGCAGAAATCTTATCTGGGATTGAAGGTTTCAATGGCTCCAGATGGGGTATTCCACAACTCTCTACACTAATCACAAGATCTTTAGATGAAGCTGTGTCGCGCAAAAGGCTGGGACTTCTCGAAGCTGTATCTCAATCAAACAAGAAGATCAGTATATCAACCCCCAGCAAGAATTCTCAAGCATCCAGTTCATCCAATGTCACTGCAGCAGGTCCATCAAGACCAAAACTTCAAGTGAGTAACTCACTTTATCATATTGAGCATGTTATTGATTGGAATATGTAGATAATTGCAAGAGACAAAGACACCTCAAGTATTGAGGAAAAGCAACCGTCTCGAGTAAACAGTCAATTATCAAAGGAGACTAGCACTACCTCTGATTCTGGGTATATTTCTGGTGCTGAGAGATATCATTCAAAGTCGATTTCAAGCCTTCCTCGTCAGGGATATAGCAAATTGGCCCCCCTTTCTAGGTTTATTAAGATGCTTAAGAAGAGACAACATAAGGGCAAATCTGTAGTTGCGGAGCCTATCAGGTATGAACCTCGAAATCAGAAAGAAATCTTGCTGACCGATCAAATAGAGAATGCGTCTCATGTTTGGACGATTTTCCAGTGAGCGACATGGTTCATGTGCAGTGTCACGACTATTGCAAAGATTGTTTCGAAAGACTAGTCATGTAAGTTGTTTCTAAGACACGCATCAGGGATTATCTAACACACAGTACAGTACTGCCATGGAAACAGAGTCGATGTGGCCGGTTAAGTGCTGTCTCAACGATATACCACATAAGACCATTGTAAAAAATATCAAACCAAACCTGGCAAAAGAATTTCAACTGAAGGTTTACGAGCGGGAGATCGCTGCAGGAGACCGGATCTATTGTATTAAGCCAAGATGTGAAAGGTGGATTCACAACAATTGGATCGACAAAGGTCGCAAATGCGCATCTTGTCCTTCTTGCGAAACAAAGGTGTGTATCACTTGCAGAGGTTCATGGCATGCAAATATGGAGTGTCCTCAGGACAAAGATCTTCAAGCTACAGTCAATTTGGCAGATGATAGAGGGTGGAAGCAATGTTATAATTGCAAGGTTTTCATCGAACTTAACAAAGGCTGTAGGCATATGAAATGCCATTGTAAAGCCGAATGGTGTTACGTGTGTTCTGCCCAATGGAAGACCTGTGGATGTACAGAACTCGAACTTACCGAGTTAATGCAAAACTTGCAACTAAGACAAGAAGCTGCTGCTCTAGAAACGCAGTTGCAGGAAAGAAGAACCAGACAAGAAGAAAAACGAATTAGGAAAGCGGCAGAAGAAGAAAGGATTGCTATTCAAATGGTCGAGGATTTCGAACGACGAGAGGCCGAAGAATTAGGAAGAGAAGCCGAACGTGATTTTCAACTAGAAGAAGCCATTCGGCGTCGCCGAGAGGATAAGAGAGTTGCAAAAATAGCTTCCAACTTCATCAAAATAAGAGAGGATCTAAATGTGTTACATCGTTCACAAAAATCACGTCTTGCAACTCGCTCGCAGGAGGAATTTCAAATGTTACAAGATCGAGAAAATGGGTTCTACAAGCTACAAAAACGTCATTTAAGCCAATATGACCAGTTAGAGAGGGAATACAAAACAGAATACTCGAAACAAGAGCTTCAGCTCCAAAATGAATACGATCAACTTCGGGAAGAGGAGATCCGTGCTGTCAAGGAAAATACGGAAAAGTTCGAAGCGTTCTGGAAAGACAGACCGTATGCTGCATACCATATTCAAGCTGCGAAAGATTCACACGAGAAATTTTTTATTGCAGCATTCAGAAGCTGGGACCTTGACAGAGATATTGCTCTAAAAGAGTGCACTAAGAATTTCGAATCAAAGAGGTTATCTCTGGGGAGGTATCAAGGTTTGGAGGATGCCGAATTCAAGCAGAGAATGCGAGATGAGTGGAGAGAGTGGGCAAGAAATAAGGTCGCCGAAGTCCGATGGTTTGACGCTGTTATTGCTGAGAGAGAAAATATGTTACAGACCCTGGAGAATGAGCAGTATACAATGGCCACAGCAGAGTCTGAAAGAGGCAGAGCATTTTAGGCTTTATAACTATTTGTACGATGTAGGTATGACTTCGATATCGACATTGTCATATATCATTAGCTGTGCGGGGTGATAGAAGTTTGTCCTATTGTTCCGTCACACATTTGTGTCTGGAACATACATTTCGGAGACCACCACGTGATACCATGGCTTAGCAACATGGCTTTGGAGCCAATGAGGGAAGTTTTGAGGGGGTTTATATCCGGTATTGAAGATCTGCTGGCCAGGAACTAGTTCGGTGTCGGAGATTAATTTCTCTTTGCATATGTTCTTGATTTATATATATCGATCCTCGTGGAGAGATCGGGCGAAGTTGCAAGAGTGCATCACAGAAGATCTTTAAGTGATAATGAGGAAATTTGTATTTGTGATTTGGTGACCTTTTGTGAGAGATCGTGTGTGTTATGGGAGAATATATATGACTACCATACCCATTGAACTAGTATGTGATAAGAGCAACTTTCTTTTCTTTTCTATCTCTCTTTTCTTCTCTAAATTGACCACTCCAAGCTTACCAGATAAGCCAGGATGGTTCAGACATTCGTTTTCTTATTTTCTCTATTCGTATGTGTCCACTCTGCATTGTAAGTTATCCTTCTGCGAATCAACTTAACAAAGTAGCTAAAACAGTAATATTTTAGAATTCCCGCTTCATTACTCAACCGCGATGATCCTAGCCCAGTAATAGCTCCAGCGCCATCAATCCCATCATGTGCACTTCCATGCATTGCATCAGCAGTAGCCGCAGAAACGAGTTGTGGTGCCGCGGATCTAGCATGTCAGTGTGATCCTGACAATGTTAGTTTGATCCAAGGAGTAGCCACAAGCTGCGTACTTCAGGCTTGTGGAATCCAGGAAGCTCTTCGTTAGTATCCCTCTTTTTTACAAGATGAACAAAATGAAATCCCAGACTAATACTGTACAGAGGTGCTGGATGATGCTAATGCAGAATGTTCTTCTGTGCTTGCGGCTGGAAATGCTGGTGCGGCTCCTTCCTCGGCAGCCCCTTCAGCAATACCATCTGCTGCCCCGAGTTCGGCTCCAGCTAGCATATCGGCAGCTCCATCTTCTGTTCCCAATACTACTTCTATTGATTCTAGTCCTCCATCTGCAGTCCCATCATCAACTGCGGGCTCTCTTCCTTCAGCTGTTCCCTCCTCAGTACCAAATGCGTCACCAAATGCCACATTTGTTATCCCTGCTTGTGCGGATAGTTGCATTCAAAATGCTGTTGGATCCACCTCTTGTGGACTCACGAATGTTACTTGTCAATGCGAGAAAAGTAATGCAGAGACTATTCAGGCTGCTACTGTTTATTGTATAGCCGCCAATTGTGGAGATGATGGGGATTATATTGCTGTTGGTAGGTCCTTCCTTATTTTCTTTTAGTATTGTTGTGTTACTTTTCAGTTTGCAGAAAAAGTTGTAGAGGTGATGCTTGGATATCCCATGAAACGATCTACCCATGTTGAAAGAGGGCTGAATATTCAATTCCACATACGATGATAAGATTTCTGATGCCTTTACTCAACACTATCAACTAGCGAAGAAGATATTTTGGGTTGCTTCAAGCAAAGTACAGTTTCAGAAAGCTAAGTTTTGTGTAGAAATCAATAGATTACAAGTTGACAATTGTACCGCATTGTCGACTCCTTATAATTCATCATCATCAATCACAGGCTCAGTAACAGCCAATGGACCAACACAAATAAGTCTTACCGGCAACCCATCTGGTATATCTACAGCACTACCTCCTTGCGGGCCACCTATTCCAGCTTCTTCAGCAGCACCCACGGGTTCAAGTCCAAGTCAATCGAATCCTTCTGATCCAGGAGATCCTACTTCTCCCATAAATCCAGGTGGAAGCTTTCCTACGGACCCACCAGGTAGTTTTGGAAGTGGTCCATCATATTACGGATATCCAACAAAATCGAACCCGATTGATCCTCCCGGATCTCCAACATCGGGTGCTAGAGATCCATCGGGAACTGTATCCAGCACTCCGACTGATCCCGGGTCAGCTTCTTCAACTAACATAAGTGCAGATCCGTCGGCCGGATCTGGATCTGCACCCACTGATCCTAGTTCCCCAACAAGTGGTGGATCTTTCCCTTCAGGAGCTGGTTCTAGCACACCTACGGATCCAGGGTCAGCATCTTCGACTAATGTCAGTGCAGATCCATCAGGGATTGTATCTAGCACGCCAACTGATCCAGGATCAGCTTCTTCAACTGCTTTAAGCATAGACCCATCAGGGGGTTCCGGATCTGTACCTACTGATCCAAGCTCCCCAACAAGTGGTGGTTCTTTCTCATCAGACGGTTCAACTCCTGTAGACCCAGGATCAGCTTCTTCAACCAACGCAAGTGTAGACCCATCTGGGACTTCTGGATCATCATCAAATATCCCAGGTTCATTCCCTTCTGGCAGTTCTCCAACCTCCACAGATCCATCAGAAGGTACAGATCCTTCTGGAGCAGCTTCTAGCACGTACCCTTTCGACCCATCTGGAGCTTCGAGCACGCCTCCTGGTGGAAATGGTAGTGGTCCAAGTTATGGATATGGGTATGGTACTTATTATCCCTCTAGCATACCCACACCTACTAGAAATGGAGGCGATCCAAGTGATCCATCGGGAAGTAGTGGTGTTTCGGTATCTTCTTCGGCTACAGGGGCGGTTTCTTCGAGTAGTCAGTCGATTGGAGCGCCTAGCACTTCTGAAGGGGGTTCCTTGAGTCCGAGTACAACCGGTGGAGATCCTTCATCACCAACTATTTCTGGTGGAGATCCATCTTTTCCAAGTACAACCGGTGGAGATCCTTCCTCCCCAAGTACAACTAACAGTGATCCATCTTCACCCACAACCTCAAGTGGGCTAAACAATTCATCCAGCTTCCCCTCTGGAACCGATCCCTCTTCTTCTCCACCCTCCAGCTCAATCAATCCCCCTCCGCCACCACCTCCACCAGCCAGCGGAGGCTATTACGGCTACAATCCCGCTTCAGCGCCATCATCACCCTCATTCACATCGCTGTCCACCCCAGCTATCCCAACATCCCCAAGCGATCCCAACTCCCCCTCCTTCCGTCTCTCACTCCTTCCCTCCCGCTACTCTCTCCTCACCTACATCATGCGCGTATACTTCAACCTCTCTCCCCCCTCCCCCTTCATATCCTCCCGGGGCCTCACAACCAATTCGCGTACCTCCGCATGTATATTCTCCATCTCATCATCCGGCCTACTTTCCTGTTCCGGTTCCTCATCTTCTAATTCTCATTCTCATCCCGGAACTTCCAATAACAACACCCCCGATCCAAAAACGAGATATTTCGGAGATGAATTCGCACGTGTGTGGGACTCTGGGTATACGGTTTTACAGACTAGTAATAAGTTGAGGGATATGCAGGGTAAGGATTTAAATGGGACGTTGGTGGTGGATTCCACGAGTGAGTATCCGTATGGGAGTTTGTTGAAGTTGAGAAATGGGGAGTTTATTGGGAATGGTATGTTGCTTCATTTCCTTTTCAATTCATTCTGATCGATTTTCGCATCTTCGATTCTTTCTTTTTCTCTCTCTAATGATGAGATGAATTGTATGATGAGTAATAATATATACACAAACACTAACCCCCCAAATCCAGATAACCAAGCCCGTTTCTGCGCTCAAACATCATCTTCGATTCCTTCAACCTATGGATCCGTAAACCCAGATACATCACAAAGCCAAACTGATGCGTTTTTGGAAGGAACTCCAGTTCGTGCGTATATTAACGGAACGCAGGGATTGCCTGCAGATTGTCAAGAGGTGAAATTAGTGATTGAATGGGTTGATGGGGGTGCTTAGGGTTGGATTGAGATGGGATGGAGGGAGAAGGGAGGAGACAATGGGGAAAGGGTATACATGGAAAGATATATGGATGGACATTCATTTGAGAGTTTTATTTTCCTGCTTTTCATTTGTGGATGGAGGATTTAGCGTCGTTGTTGTTTGAGTGGAAATTCGAGGTTAGCGGTTGAATGAAGTGTATTGGTGGATAACTGAATAGTAATCTTAATGCGGTAGTGCCGTGAACTATGTACGAATGTTTCACGATACGAACTCTAGCCGTCTTAATGTGATCTGCCTGAAATTCTCAAACAAAATACTATCATTGAACAGATTCTACACTTCAACGCGTATCTATCAACGCTGAGAAGGCGTCGAAACGCATCCAGTCAAATAATGGAATAACAATCAAAATAGAATTGCGCCCAACACCATCCGTTTTTTATCCCCAATTTCCAAAATTATGCTATCCCATCCTGTGCTACGCCATGGTATATCACTTTTCCTTGTCCTTGTCCTACCAATGCAGCCAACCAACCAATCCTTTTGTATGCCCCGTCTCAGTCCCGCCGTGCCATGCTATGCCGTACCCAACCCCTATACAGTATCCCATCATGCCATTCCTCACCATATATACAAGTATCTCAAAGTCATGTTATGTATGTGCAATCTCCCCTCATCTGATGTTACAAGAGGAGATAATATAATATCGAATGTTCACATTGAATCGAAGTCTCCCTTCTTTGGCCCCTTTCTTTCCTTTCTTCTCTTTCCTCTAGAATTTCTCGTATTGTGTTTCACGATACCATTTTTCTTGTCGTTGGAATCAGGTCGCATTCGCTTTCTGACCATCACTTTTCGTATTTCAGTCGTGCGTCGCATAACCCATGAATTCTTTTCCTTGTCGAAAAATGGCTCTTGCATTGTAGTGATGGTGATCATTAGGATGATTTTCGTGCAGCCTTTCGGGGAGACGAATGTTTTGATGATTTTGGTTCTTTGGGTTGACACTAGACCTTTTGTGGTGGTAGATGTATTTGATACTACTGCGGCGCTGGAAGCGGGGTTTCTGGTTGGGAGACGTGTGATGGGGTTGTGGGTTCTTGTGCTTATTATTGGTAATGGAAGGAGAGGTTGTTGGAGGATAGTGGAAATGCTGGGGAGAGTTGGTGGGATAGAGTTATTGTTATTTAATGCATTATTTGTATATATTGCTGAAGGAATGGAGATATTAGATGCTGGATCTGAAGCGGATGAAGAAAAGTTGGTAGAAGAAGAAGAGTAGGAAATATTGGACGGCTTGATGGGCTTCATATTTTTAATTTGCGTCGTCTATACAAGAAACTACTCATCAATTTACTCGCCAACTTTGTGGGTACTGTTCAAGCGAACAGTAAAGAATATTATGTGGATGATAAATTCAGAGCTGTGGAGAGTGCAATCGAATTGCTATGAGTTGAGTGTTTGAGTTTGGATGATCGTAATATAATTTTTGGAATGGTAGCTTATATGCAAGTCATACTCGGCCTTACCCGCTTTGCAACACGCATCCAACAAGGCTTTCATAAGAAGCGCTATGAAATTTTCACACCAATTAAGGCATAGTAGCAAAAAAGACCTGAGTACAATCTTTGCTCACACAAAACTTGTCCTCGGGGAGGGGAGATACTCGACCATCGATGACCGTAAAAGAGACCACAAGCGCGGTGTGAGGCGGCTGTAGTACGCTGAAAAGCATGGGCTTGTGCCTAAACCCGTTCGCCGGCAAAAACAAAATTACAGAAGACTACCAGGGAATTATCTGGCGCGGTAGACGCGACAGAAACGGAAAGCACGGCAAAAGAAGGTCGTAAGCTTGGTCGAACAGCTGACGGATGGTAGGTTGCTCCAAGTAAATCAATCATTTTAGTATTCCGCTAAGCATTGAATCAAAGTGCTGGAATTTCAACTTTCCGTCAAGGCATTGTCAACCAAAGAGCTTTAAAGTCTGTATAGTCATGTGGTTGCAATCCTTTGGAGCAGTAGACTTTATGGAAGCGGATCACGCACAAACGCGGGTATCCAACGGGATCCTACAAAAGCTTCGATCAAAAGGCCGCTTAGATGGTCGCATACCCCAACACTATTACTCGCGTGCCACAGCACTTAGTCTGAGCCAAAAATAAGATAGATGGCCGATATACCTAGGCTTATCTGCTTGGCATTGGCTTCAACAACGCCGACTCCTGAGAGGAAAGATTCACGTGGGGAAACATTGATTGATGACAAAGTAAAGTCGCCGTTCTAGGCCAAAATAAAAGTTTGATCAGATTTTTGGAAGATATGAGTCTTGCGCGGGTGTACACGCATATCAATGGTTTGACATGGCAAACTTTTTGAAGCTACCAGATGAGAGTTGTACTCGTAACATCATCAGGCTGGTCATGATCACAGCCACCATTGTGAGTGATTCCAGTCATCTATTTTCCAGCATCCTGGCTGGATATTGATAACAAAATCGAACAAACCAGGTCAAATTGACACGGAAATCATGATTGGAATAGCCACCACCTTAGGTGACATGGTTCATAGCAATTCAACATAGTGTACATTGTACACTATACACTGTAGATAGTTCAAGGGATTCAATTGCAGAACTCTCCGAAGGATTATTGTTAAGAAAAAGGTGTTCTGCTTGAATCTGCTTAGATCTGCTCACTTCCCCGGCTTTGAAAACGGTGACCCCGGAGAGTACACGTCATTGGACGAGATATAAGATAATCTATAGATACCTAGATATTTTATATACCACAACATAGGAGGATTTGAAACATAAATTGTGTGATGGTTGGTGTTGATGCTGATGTTTGTCGTGATGATAATGTTGGATAGAACATAACACGACAGAGGGAAGGAATAAGGTTATGGAAATACATGTGATATCACGTGAATTTATGGATCATCCAACAACCAAAGCTGGCCAAGACTTTTAAGACTTGGCCTACGATTGTTCTAGCTACCTCACACACCCTCGCCTCTCTACCATAGGTATGTATGCGATGTTACAATGTGCAGGCCCTTCGTATATGCTTTAAGACTTCGACAAAATCTTCAATGCTTGGACTTTCACAAGAGCACTTAATTTGCTGAAAATAAAACAAATCTGCATGTTCTCTTCGCCACTTTCCTACTGTACCAAGGGTCCAAAGTTGTGGATTGTCCCATCCGTCCATCCATCTATCCATGTGGAGAGCTCTCCCAAGCTCCCAAGTTGCCACTGACAAGCTTTTATTGCTCGTCGAGATTGTCAAGGTCAAATAAGCAAGCCCTTGTTACCAAGAAATGATCTTCAAGTGATGGTTCTTACTCAGTACACCATTGGTATACGAGCTCGAGATAGGGTTAGCTTACTGTCACTGCAGCAGTGAATTCCTGAGCGGAGAGAATGATAGCACATCCGCATCTCCAACAACCGATATATTCTTAAACTCTCGAGACTCTCAGACTCTCAGACCTCGTGCTAGAGGATCAAGTTCTCCAGAAAATCTTCTTGTTAAGCCCAAGAAGCTTTGCCAGTCAATGATCAATGAGTAACCGCTCGGGACTACTTAGCATCGTCCCGCACACTTACATCATGCGAAACTTTAAAATGCCTCTCATGGCTCTTCAATTCCAAAAAGAACGATAGTACCGTAGATTTTAATTTTGGGCCAGATTTGATTCGATGATGGAAAGTATGTGTGCAATCCTGAAAAAGGGTCCTTCAGATCTTGAGCTTCGTACCCAGTCAATTGATCTTTTACAACAAATTTCTTTACAAAGTCGTAAGTATTAAACTTCACTGTTTCAGGTACCCCATCGATCCTCAATCAAACGATGTTTGAGAGCTAAAGCCCTATACTGCGTCGAATCAACCATCACTCTTCTGCATTGCCTACTGAAATCTGTTGGCAGATCATCATCCCGAGGGGAGACGAAGCAGTTGGAAATAGAGCTTTTACGATTGCGACTCTTTACGACAAAGATAATCAAAAGAAACACCATTATTGTGTGGAGATAAGCGTGATGAGCACTCAATGCGGATCGGTACATTCTCTCGCTGTCGAACATGTGGAGGGAAATATGAGGCGCAACAATAATGAAGAGACAACAGGCACAGAGTCGGTTCTGGCAGAGCTTGGGGCGGTTGATTTGCTCCGGCAAGACAGCAGGCCCTCCTTCATCGTTGATATGTCAATAGAAAACGAGATTTGTGCACTTCCTGTAGTCTTCACGAACGATGCTTTCAAGACTTACGCCAAATTTAAAAACATTGCTTCGTGGCTTTCAGGAAACTCATGCCAGGGCGGAAATGCATTTGTCAAATGGATACATACTCGACCCAGCAAGGCAGTCAATCAATATTGGTTCCGGCATCAAAGATGGTCCAAGGTTTTATTGGGAGATCGATGGTGTGTGGTTTCCGGGCATGAGATGGCATTTTCGAAATCAGTACAGGAAGATACCGATGCCAATCATTACAAGCATCTTCAATCGAGACCTGCACAAAATCGGATTTCTACAATTGGAAATTGGAAGCCGAATCCTAATTCTCGTTGCGAAGACCGCTATTCCATTATGATGTCACCCGGCTCACATAACTCAGCTGTAGCTGCTCACGCATATTTTACACCCTCTCTATCCTTTGAGACGCCGTTTGCCAAGTTCTTTTGCAGCAAAGATTGGTCTTCTACAGCTGTAGAGTCCATCTCGGAACAGCTCTTAGATATGACGAGTCTAATCTCCAACTTCAGCCAATTGTCTCCTATTGCCATGTTTATTATCGATGCAAAAGACGGAAGCTTATTATTCGCGAATGATGCCTGGTATGTTCAGCCTAGTTATTCATATTTCCTGATATCCTCATATATGCAGATGAGACGAATCATTTGACCTCAGATCGATAGCTAATATGGTTTGTATCAAGGACAAGAATCACAGGCGGTACAATAGAAGAGCATTCAAATCTAAGATGGCTCGACTGTTTGATTGATGAGGATAGAGAGTTTGTCGCGGAACAATGGCGTACCCTCATAAAAGAGAAATGTCCTGTCCACTTTCAAGGAAGGTGCAAAACACTCTGGAGACCTACAGTTCCAGATCCTGCCCTCTTTGGAGAGGACGAAGTCTACTACACGTGGGGCGAATGTAGTGCTGTCCCACGGCTCAATGACGAGGGGGACGTGGAGCATGTTGTTGGATGTCTTAGTGATGTCACACACATCAAATGGGCTGCCCGAGTACAGGAAAGAAGAGAAAACGAGGCATTGAAGGAGAAAAAAGAACGAGAAGAATTCATGAACATGACAAGTCATGAGTTGATGAACCCACTATCGGCCGTCGTCCAAGCAGCACACACCATGATCTCCAGTCTCGATGAGATCAATAAAGCTCTTTCTCATACTCATGACAACGTCCTTCATGATGACAATTCAAAGAGTTACGGGGAGATTAAGTCGAAGGTACGGCGCAATATCGCAATTGCGAAAATTATTCTAGCTTGTGGAGAGCATCAGCAAAAACTGATGGAGGATGCCCGTATGATGTCTAAATTGGACATCAATCTGTTTTCAATTTCACCAACTCGAACAGAGCCAATTTGTATTGTAGATACAGCTATGTCTATGCTCTCTGGAGAAACATCTAAGTTAGATATCAATATCCGACTTGAGGTGGACCCCTCCATGGAAGCTTTGAATTCGCAATGGCTTTGCTTCGATCCTTCAAGATTTCTACAACTACTCCTCAATCTCCTGACAAATGCCAACAAATACACAAAATCATCCGAAACCCGGAATGTAGTGGTGCGTCTTGGAGCCACAACTGGATCCCCTTACCATAAAGAGATCGGGCGAGAGATACAGTACATACCTCTTCGCACAGCACGAAACGACCCGACTTTGAAAGATGCGTCGGGAACAGGAGAGATAGTATACCTCCATTGCTCAATTACCGACACCGGTAAAGGACTGAGTGAAATGGAGAGGCAGACACTCTTTAAGAAATTTTCTCAAAAGTCTTTAAGCACGCATACGCAGTATGGCGATTCTAGTCTGGGATTATTCATCTGTAGGGAGCTTGCCGAGTTACAAGGAGGTGCAATTGGCATTGGATATACGGATTCTCAAGCAACGGGTAGCACTTTCGCTTTTTATATCAAGACACGGCGATCCGAATTCAAACCGGCGGGACTACCACTTGAGACGTCGGAGGAATCGTCTCAGCTGGATGGTCAATCTTCTATGGGCGACTTCGATGTAGAATCTGATACGGATGTTATTTCGATGTCTGAGCTGGACTTTTCAGAGTCTGAGATGACCGATGCCGAGGTTCTCAAGTATCGGGACAATGGACACATTCATAGTGCTAGCTTTCCCTAGTTTTAACAACATCAAGGATCGCAATGATGTATTTAAAATTTCAGTACTTATGCTTTCAATCACTAAGTTGATATCAATATTGAAATTTGTATGGATTTTGGTGAGGAGAAAGAAGTTGATGAGAAGGACGTAGATGGGAGTGTGAGGTTGAATCCTCAAGGGGCAGAGTTTGAGTAGAAATCTCGAGTGGAAGAATCGAATCAGGAGAATGTACTAGGAAAGAGACGAAGGCAATCACATGCTATGAACCTCTTCCTGAGGTAACATGGAGTTTGGAGACTTGATATCTAAGGCGGATTTTTGTTTTGAAAAATCTCGTAAGGGTATCTCTGGCTGTGTGAGATCATGCAATTGAATGAACGGACTAAGCAGTTTCAGGATGGAGAAGAATGACCAAAAAAATGCAATTATTACTCACCCTAAGATTTTTCGAGAATGGCCTTTCTTTATGCTAATGTATATGTTTCGAGAAGTAACAGTCCAAAGCGGTAAGAATCTCTTTGGGATAGCACGGCGCCTTACGAGCATACGCGAAGCATGTGCGATACTACTTGACACGTCGTCTCGATTTTTTTTTCAGGGGGACGTCGAATGGATTCGAAATCCGAATATCGATTTAGCCGCTCATGACAGTAAGGTGAAGATTACATGGATTCCAATGAACATATTTAAGAAGGACTCACATTTACTGGCAAGCGAAGTATTGATGGCTAGGCGCTCTACCCAATATTCAAGAACCGCTCATCCAAGAATCTCTCAATCTCCAAAGTTTACATGATCGATATCTTCCTATTATATCAGATCCCCTCTCTCTCCTGAAATCTCCTCCCATATAACCAACCCCCTGCAAAACCATCTCCCTCGTAACGAGTCACCATAAGTGGGCTATCGAAAAAAAATCACCACGACCACCTTCACAGCCGTGCAAACAAACAAGCCTAGATCGCATCGGCAGATCACCCTTTTAGGATATATATCCGACAGACTAGCCGAATCCACGACCTGTCATTTTCTGTTTTTAGGCTTCCTCTGCACACTCTCCACCAGACATCCAAAAAGATTTTCTCTGGAAATCATGTATTCTCAAGATCTCGAGTTGACGATCGTGAATACTTTATTTTGGATTTGATGGATCAGTAATGCGGGATTGTCATAAGTATATTCATATCTCCGCAAGCTCTAAATCGCCTCTAAGTCGATATCGATCAATCAATATCTCTGCGCGAATAATCTCACTCGGTTACAATGCCAAGTGTGAAAGGAAGAATTATCACTCCGTCTTATGTAGAAAGAGGCACAGCAGGGGAGTTTATAAGGCAGGAGTGGATGCGCCGAGAGTTACATTCAATAGCTAATTTCATGCTTAATTTAAGGTTATGTATGATTCACGTACACTGAGTTGATATTTATCCTTATTGTCGCGCAATCTCTTATTTTTGATATTGTTTTGCTGTTGTCGTTTTTATTGTTGCTGTTGGTTGTTGTTGTCGCTGTCGCTATCGCTGTTGTCGCATTCTCATTAGAATCTTCATTCGTCTCTCGTTAAATTTTTTTGGACAAGCGCACAAAAATAATTTGGAATAATTTACATGCACTGTTACCTGCTATTCAAAACCTAGTTGTCACTCACCAACCACGACATAAAAATTCAATTCGAGTTCGATACCATACAACCGCACAAATATGAGGTCTCTCCTCATACCCTGCCTCTTCTTGGCCCCAATCCTCGCAGCACCAGCACCTTACATTGTCACAAGTTACGTTGAAGTATCCGTATACACCTACATAGAAGCCGAAACCCTTCTCAGCACCACCTACACCGAGGAAGTCGAAACAATCACCCACGGAGTTGTTCCAAATGCGACTCCCGTCACAAATGCTATCGAAACACTCACTGACACAACCGCCTATGCACACGTTACCATTGTCGAAGTAGTTCTTCCACCCGGTAGCGGTTCCCGACCAACTTCCAGCTCTGATTACTATGCGACAACCACTGCTGTTCCAACCAGCTACGTGGTTCCAATCACCTACACCCCATACCCCAGCTGTACGGGCACCGCTCAGAACTGGACATATGTAACCAACGTCCCGATCTACATCCCCAGTATCGCCGCAAACGCTATTGAACCTTCGGTCTTCACCACTTCCGTATCAAAATATACCTACTACGATGATAGAGTGAGCGCCACGACATTCGTCAACGCCATTCTCAATCCCACCGATGTGGCCGCCGATACATTAGCCAGCGTTTCTGCAGACTACGAACCATATTCGATGAGTTACTGTTACACACCCACAACAACTTGCACCACTATTCTCTCAACCGCAACCTGTACTCCCACATGGAGATACCCCGACTATGATTCCACCCTGAGCGGTAGCGGTAGTTCTACATACTACGATTCGTACACCTGCGACGTGTATTGGTGCGGAGACCGCGCGATCCTGCTAATTATCATCTGTGTACCCGTCGGCTGGGTCGTGCTTTGGTTGCTCATTGGACTTTTCGAATCCTGGCTTTCGTTCAAGGGGATCATGTTGGGGTTGAATCGCAAACGAGGAGTGCCGTATGCGTGGTGTTGTATCTTGATGCTTTTCCTGTGTTGTACGGGACCCACGTATAGAGCGAAGAGTGCGGAGGAGCAGGCACGGTTGAAGGCGCAGTGGAAGGAGATGAGTGCGGGTAAGAAGTTGGCGTTGTGGTTTAAGTGGGGTTTCCGGTGGAAGTATCCGGATATGTTGGGGGAGGAACCGGAGAAAAATAAGAGAGCTTTTAGAGAGGGATGTTTGTAGATTTCTCTGTTTGCATTGGATTTCGTTTCGTATGCTGAAGTTGCTTCACTGCGTCGAATTCAATATATACATTGCTTTTACTCTCAATTCAGCAATCCAAGGTTATCATTTCAAAAGGGTAAGAAATGAGAGTTGCCTGGTTGGACGATAATTTTATGATGACGAAGTCGGTACATACCAAAACAGTTTAGATATAGATAGACTTAGTGTCTAATTTTTAATTTAATATGTGATCAACGCAACGTCACTATCCATTATATATTCAGAAGATTACCTAGCTCTGATTGCAGTATATCTTCCCTATCCCTTCTTCACCCCAGACATAGAGTTACCAAAGTATCATATATAAGGAAAGAACTCTCATTATACCGGTTGAAACACCCGATCTGTATCGTCTCCCAATTCAAAAATGAATCCCAAAACTCTCAAGTAAATATGCAAAATCCAGAACTCAAAAACAATATATGTAGTCCCGCGAGTAAGCAGTTCCTTCACCTACCTATCCTTCATACGCCGTGCACAATTCTCAACCATTTCATCACGTCGGGAAGCAGCATAATACAAAAGCGTTTCCTTCGTATAAATCATATCTAGATCGTTTTGTACTGAGGTAAAATTGATCCACAATTCCATGTACAAACCCATAACGGACTGCTACAAATTCCAAAGAAACTTTCCAGAATAGCCGCAAAAACTTCGAGGAGGTAAAGAAATGCAATACCACAAGCAAGATTATCTATAATCATCAATTGTCTCACATCTCGACACCTCGTCGTCGATATAAGTTATCACATCAAGCTTGCCTCAAATCCAAGAATCCAAGAATCTAAGGATTCTACACCACAATAATAAATCCAAGCTCCAATATCCATCCATTCATACACCTGACACTAACACAAAAGAACCGAGTAAGAAACCAAAATAGCACATCCCAAAAAATTACACTCCAACAGGAATCTCACTATCTCTCCACTCTCCATCCAACAAACATACTCTCCACGTGATCCTCCTCGCATTCGTTCACCAAAACAGTAAAGCGTCATCCCACTCCACTCATCCAATCACATCCCTGTATATATCTCCCACCAAGGTAGGTATCGTACTGGTATCGTAATAATCTTCTCAACGATGATCATCACATCACCAATTATCACTGTACGCGCAACAATATGCAGATAACTATCGTACATACTACATACTACCTACCCACTCCAGCCATAAATCGATCCGTGTAAGCTGACCTTATGCAAAACCCTAATCTAATAGGGAAATAAAGAAGTTGTTAGTGCGTCTACAGGGCTGAGTACCGGGTACCTACCTAGGGAGATGGCATTACTCGCAAGCTGGTTACATGTATGTCCGAAAAGGTAGGTGTATTGCGATAATGATTGTCTTGGGTATATATATGAGGAGGTATCTACAGAGATATCTCTCACCTCATACCTCAATCTCTTTACTTTATGATATCCAAGTGTTTGATCTTGTTGTGAATTCTTCCATTGATTTTTCATACTTGGGTATTTTAATGCATCATCACATCACAACATATCTTTCTTAACATTCCAACCTATCCATGTCTTTCATAATCGAAGGGGCAATCAAAGGCATTGCAGCTGGTATCGGTCTCGCATCCGAGAGTGTGCACGCGCATAAAGCGAAGAAAGCTGATAAATCTCAATCCCAATCTCAATCTCCACGAGCATCCAGTAACGAGGATTTTCAACTTCGATCAGCTAATTGCAATGCCTTGCGAATCTCGAATGAAGATTCTACGGCTGTAGCATCTGACATCTTGCATGAAGAAAACGATGAACACATCTGGGAATTGGATGCTGCACAAGATGAGCTTGCACCCGTCGAGACGCAACAAATTTCCCCCTCCGATCTCACGGTGCAAGGATCCGACGCAGAGACTCCAACCCCCCAAGGAAAAGAAAAACACACCGTCTTCATGAAAGTATTCGTCTCCCGTTTCATCGCCAGACACCCCGCCCCTCAATATCCACCCTCCCATCCCATCACCAACCGACTCCCCCTCCCCGTCATCCTCCCCCAACGCCGACCCAAAAGCCGATCTCGGGGTTTCATCCGCGCCTACGCTCCTCTCCTCCAAAACTGCGATATCCCCGAGAACATGTGGCTAGACTTCCTGCGTACATTTAACGAAGCAACGCAAGCCTCACCCTGGATCCAGTGCATCAATTTCGCCGGGCTAGCCGCGCATGGAGTAGCTCCCGGCGTTGCGATCGCTGTTCAAATAGCCATTGCAGTTGCTATCAAAGCTGCAAACGAGATACATTCTCGCCAACGAACAAACTCATTCCTTGACGCGATGAACAACCAATTCTTCCGTCCTCGTGGCCTTTATGCCTTGGTATTGACGTGGAATCCGGATGATGGCAATCACACAAGTATGGTGGATATGACATCCACAATTTCCAAATCAATTGATCCACAAACCGGAGAGTCGAAAACGAGGAACAAGTTCCATACGTCATCCGGAAATACATATGGTGATTTCGAGTTCTCTGAAGCTGCACCTCTGGTTTTCCCGGCTCTCAATGCGGCTTTAACACATGTGGGATCAGAAGGAGAAGAAAAACTCAA